CAATTGTGGACCATGCTGCAAAGCGAGGTCGTATAGCTTCGGCAAAATGCTAAGGTCCGTGAGGTCGGCGTTCGGGTGTGCCACGAAGAATTGCAGCGATATTTTGGACCGCGTGCTCAAAATGAAGACAACGGCCAGGAACATTGCCGCGACCGAGAGCCCTGCATGGGGGTTGCTTCAGTATGCACGCAAGGCATCTGCGAAGGGGTCGCCCCGGAAAGGGTTTCCGTCCTTCTGCTCTGGGTGCAGGTTGAGGCAACGCAGTGTTTTCTCAAAGGAGAGAAACACATTATTGCCTCCCACCTCTCTGTAATAAAAAGGGTTCACGGCACACCAACAACTCTGCATCAAGTGCAGGCTCACCTTGCCCCCGCCAAGCCGGAGGACGGTCCCACGCTCATCCCCCGCACGCAGCACCAAGTAGGAGGCCAGCAGCAAGTCAAGCAGGAGGAGCTTCGGAGGTACCGCCAAGTGCCGCAACAAGACGCTGATGCAGACACACACTTGCTGCGCACAGCTTTGGTCGCGGACTGTGTTGTGCTGGATAGAGGAGAGCTGCGCCAGCGCCCGTGCCGCCCGGGATCCCGCTCGCTGCTCATTTGTCCCACGTGTGCCATGTTCCATGAGCTCTTTGGCCGACAGAGCCCTACTGGGCATGGCTCCGCCTTGGACTCTTTGAGTGTGCGGTGTGATGCCTTCACGATCTTCTAAGGGTTTGAACAGATCTTGCTGCGGATGTGTTGTTTTGCCCACTTCCCGGACTCACTCGCTCACATTGCTCGCTCGATGACTCGTGAGATGGTGACTGCACTTGTCAACGAGACAGTGTGGACCCACTATAGTGGCCGTCCGCCACTCGTCCTGTATGTTCGTATCCCGTGCACAAAGCCTTATCCCGGCAAATATCCCAGTTAGCCTGGAGATGGCTCTAGCCTTCGGCTAGCCAATTCCAGGGTGGGAAGTTTGAGTACTTCAAATTACCCTTTCTTGGTAAAAAGCTTAAGTGCCAACACCGTACAATACTTTGTACACCACTTGACAGTATGACAGCAACGCTCAGCAGGCAATCAGATCCCTTGCAATCCGGATCCACTCGGTGTCAATCTTATCACTCCAGACTTGAGCCAATGTCAATCATGGCAGCAATCCGTATGGTGACCCACGAGAACATGCAGTTTCATAGCCACTCAAGTCAAGCTATCAAGCTAGACGGCAGTGGGTCGCGAAACAAGACTGGAGCCTTGAACATATAGTGATGAATTTGTGGGACGTACGTGTGTTCACGATTATATGGCTCATTCATCCACAATCTCACTTACTCAGCCACGCATCCAAGGATCCAGGTCCGTCCTGGCCGGGCTGAATAAGATATACACACTGCCCTGCTGGGCCTCCACAGGAGTGCCGGGCCCAGCGGACCCGAGGTAGCACCTCGGCTGGGAAATAATTCTGTGGGTGCCCCAGCTCCGACGAGACCCAAAAGCCATTTTGCCACCTTGTACCAACATGTGGCAAAATGCTTTTGCGCGGTTCTAGCTGCGGGAAAAGAACCAAAAGAAATAGTACGAATACCTCATCGAGTATCTTGCTTATGCAAAGTAGGCGAGCTGTTCCTACGAAAGCTTCTCGGCCGCGGCCTAAGGTACCCCTCCGACTCATTATATAAGGTAGCCCCCATTTTGATGTGCGCACAGCCTGGCAAGTGAGCACGTATCTATCTGACTCGTCTTGCACTGCCCAGCCAACCGCCCACTGAATGCCGAGGTGCAGCATTTCTCAGAACGGAAACCCGAAACCCTAAACCTGAAAGCTAGACCCTAAACCCTAAACCCTTAAACCTTAAACGGGAACCGGGAGGCAGCAGGAGCGCCCGCTGCTTCTGGTCCAGCTTGGCAGGCGTCGTGTGGGTGTGTTGAAGGTGACCTCATGCCGGTTTAGGGGTTAGAGCCTAGAGGGTTTAGGATTTCACTTGTCTTGTATCATGGGGAACTAAAGGTTAACCTTTGGGATTCTATGGGGGTGATATAGGGAGTATGGTACCCTCAACAAAGCTCAAGGTTTCCTTCCCCACTTCAATCCCAGGTCGCTTCGGCATGCACTGTTTACAGCATTCGAATCCTTCAAAAGTCACCTCTAGCTATTTCTGGAGTGGACGTTACAAGAAAAACATCCAAAGAAAGCTCTGGGTAAGGAGCAAGCCTTGGAGGTTTTGTCAAGCGTTCAAGTGTTTGAGCATCGTGCTGAGCGGAGCATCCGCTAATCACATCAGCCCCGAGGCTCTGAAGAAGCTGATCGTCCGTCCCGTTACGGCTTAGGCCGTCGGCAATATTTGAAGGTGATTCTACCCACTCGTGCCAGAAATGAGCACGAAGAGATGCAGACTGTACGCCGAAAACTGAAAGCAAGACAGAACTATCCCACTGGCAAGAATGGCCTTTGACCAAACCTGCCAATGCAGCACTGTTGTCCACGAAGTGGACCACAAACTCATGCTCAAGGAGTTCTGGAGCATAGCATGTGGCTAAAAGTAGGGCTGCAATCTCGGCTTGGTTGATGTGCGTGTCCAGGCAGCAACTGCCCCATGAAAGCTCCCGCAAGCTGTGGGCCCTTGGGCCACAAGCTCAGGCGAACTCAAGTATGAAAATGCATATCAATCCACACCTGCCCTGCCAAACCTAATGGATTTGCATATCGTCTTGCAGCTACGCCTTTGTGCGACATGTCTATTTCGAAACTGTACAGCAGAGTGTATATTCGGCCAGAGTTCGGCCACGAGGGTGTCCTTGCGACTCTGAGTGGCGGATTCCAAGCTTCGGCTCCGCAACCCGAATAGGCCCGAATAGTATGCAGTTATGCAATAGTGTACCCGAACGCCCGGAACGCTTGCGGCGGAGGCATATTTGTGGGCTGCTTGGCATTGGATGCACGACGACAACCAGGCATGTCAGCAAGAGATGGCAACATGGCTTCTCGGCTTCATGGTATGCCTGAAACACTCGCAAAATCAACTCCTGGTGCCATGCTACCTTGGGTCTCGCTGAAGCTCCCTCCGGGATCATTAGAATTTGAGAACCCTAGTCGTTGCCCAAGCGCAGCTTCTGAGACTGCGCTTCTGTGGCCGGGCAATCGTTTGGGCATGTCCGTACAAGTAGGCCCGGAAGCTTTTCATATCTTACCTGTGTGTATGTATGTATGTATGTATGTATGTATGTACGTATGCATGTATGTGTGCGAGGGCACTATCCGCGCACTAAGTATGTATGTCTGTTTGTCTGTCTGTCTGTCTGTCTGTCTGTCTGTCTGTCTGTCTGTCTGTCTGTCTGTCTGTCTGTCTGTCTGTCTGTCTGTCTGTCTGTATCTATGCATGCATGTATGTATGTATGTATGTATGGGAATATATATGTAGGGCTAAGCCTAAGCTCCCCCGCGAATCAGGACATATATGCTGTACACTGAGACGGGTCTGAGACTGGTAGACACCTGCCACCTCTTTCCGGCCGTTCGACACCTTCACACGATGTAGTAGCATAATTAGGGATTTGTGCGAACCACAACTCCATACCGCACGCTGTTCGGAGCCCGGATGAATGATGTTACTAGTACTCTCCCGGCCCCAAAACGCAGCGGTATGCTGCAAGCCAAGAGGGTGACCTTGACTCTACTGGTCTCGCATCTTCTTGGATGGGAGATGTCGCAAGAGCAGCGAAACACTCAAATCCTTGCTCAAGGCATTCATCAGCTTGCCGAAGCTATGCTGCTTGATCTCGGGAGACGAAGAAGATCTCCTACCCAAGCCGCCATGAGACGCTGCGCATGCTGTCGCAAGAGCAGGGAAAGACTCGAATCCTTGCTCAAAGCATTGATCAGCTTGCCGAGCTATGCTGCTTGATCTCAGCCATGCTGAGATCCATGGATTCCAGCGCCCGCGATGCACCCCAGCACTCGGACACCACGCGGCCTGTCAAGCGTTTCTCAAGTTCCTGGAGCCGACTGGCGCGTTCCTCATTCTGGACTGTCTCGGCACGTGATGACGAGCCCTTGCAACCCTTCTTCGGGGTATCCAGCGAGGTGGGCGCAGACTTCTTGGCCGTGGCTTTCGCAGCTTTAGCCTGAAGCTGAGACACGGTGCTTCCGGCCGAACCACGCAGGTTCAGAGGACGCCCTCCCGCATGACTGCCACCACTCCCAGCTGCTGGAGTGTCTGGGTAAATGTCAGGGAGGCGCTTGGCTGTGAAGTGCTTGAGCGTGTGAAGTGGAATCTTTGGATCCGTCTCCAAGATGCGACAGAAACCCCCGTGCACGCACTGAGCATCTCGAACGAAAGCCGAGCAATTGCACCGAAAGCTTCCTGGTTCGTGTGCATCCTTTGACGTCAGCACTGTCACCAGGTTGAGCTTTCCAAGGGTGTGCTTCAGAGACGACAAGGACACGCGTCCGCCGTTCTGAATTCTGTCCCTGGTCCGTCCAGCAGCCAAGGCGGCCTAGAGCTGCCCGGACCGCAGCGACGTTCTCACCCTGCAGAAGCTCCAGCATAGGCGCCATCATCTCCTGCAAAGGCCCGGGCAGGCAAGCGCAGCAGTAGATGACACAACGTACGGGTTTTCGCCGCAAAAAGCAGGCATTTCCGGCAGACCAAACGATTGTCGCAGTCCCGGCGCCCCCAAAACCCATTTTGCCACCTTCGACCAACATGTGGCAAAATGCTGTTTCGCGGCTTTGGCTGCATTTCCGGCAGACGAAACGATTGTCGCAGTCCCGGCGCCCCCCAAAACCTATTTTGCCACCTTCGACCAACATGTGGCAAAATGCTTTTTCGCGGTGTTGGCTGCGAAAAAAGCAAAATAAGCGCGGCGGTACCGAGACTGCGGATGCGGAGGCACAGGCGCACACTGAGAAGACCGTGCACATATGCGTTTTCGCAGGCCAAACGCAGGCATTTCTGGCAGACAACACCCTCAGTCCTGTTCCATGCGCAAGTCCGCGTCCGTGCCCGGCACCAGTTAGACGCGGCGGACGCTGTGAAATTCCAACACCTTGAAGTTCTGACAGCAGTAGTTGGCGGGGGCATGTTGCACCAGGGAAGTCACAGGCGGCCAACGATGCACATAGCCGTCCTCAGCTTTGTTGCGCTCCACCAGGCCCTCGGACAACAACTTGGGATTGAAGGAGGTTGGCCAAGGACGAGACCTGTCCTCGCCTGGCTCCTGGACACGATTGTCCTTAACATAGCCCTTTTGCACTTGCCAGGATGCACGCAGGTATTTCTGGAGTTCCAGGGTCGCATTCTGGATCGTCATGTGGCCGACGTTACCTGGCATGCATCGCTTGGCCGCAGACCACCAGCTCTCGATGCTCTGGCCCAGGCCAGGCGAAAGTGAATCCCGGCACACCGAGTCATTCACAGACGGATCCCAATCCGCCAGTCTGGGCGGCTTGTACCACTCGGCCGTCCACAGGCCACCGGACCTCTGCAGCACATGCTCTTCCACGTACTCTCGCCATTCCGGTTCATCGATTCTTTCAAGCACCGAAGACCAAATGAGATGGAACTGGAAGGGGTTCATGCAGGTGGCCGTGACGTGGATGGTGGCAACAACGAACTTCTTCTGCGCACCTGCATGGCGTCGGACAGCTGCCAATTGGTGACGGAGGCATCGACGGAACAGTACTCCAGGGAGGACGGCAGCATGGGCACTTCTTCCCGCTGCTGTGTTATCCCAGTGGACTTGTGCGGGGATCCCAAATCCGACATGCGTACTGGGGTTCATAGGGGTTATACAATGTGGCAAGGTTCGTACCCCTGCCTCCTTCAACGCACGCAGCGACAAGCCTCGTTCTTCATACCACTGGACGCAGAAGCTGAGGAGGTAGTTCAAGCTCTCGGCATCTTCTTTCGGGGCCCAGCCAAAGGTCAAGGGCAGCAGCTCAGATCGCCACCTACCAGAATCGTCTTTGTGTTTCGCCGAAAGACCGAGAAGGAAAAGGGTCCACCGAGATTTGTTCAGCTTAAAGCTACAATCTGCCACGGCGTAGGACTCGCCATAGGTGCCGTTCTGGATGGCCATTTTGGCCACCTCTACAAAGGCGAGAGCAACCAGCGCACAGATGTCACCTGAAAGGTGGTGAACTTGCAGCTCGAGAACGTCCGTGACATTGGCCTGGCGAGATGAGGCCTGCTGGAGCCACTGCCTCCATGCTAGCAAGCCTTCATCCGAGCCCTGATTCGCAGGGTCCTGATTTTGGCTCAACCAGTTTCGCCTAGCCGATTTGATGGTCTGCAGCGGCGGCACATCTCCAACGACGTTCTCCGCCAGGAGGTTCGCTGCGGCTTGCAGCGGAGCCCGAGAAGTCATGTCACGAGCTGCCTGGCGGAAGTGCCACGCACCATCCGAGGCTCTTGGCTATGGTCGCCTTTGGCTTGAATGACAACCTCTTGATTCCGAGCATGGCGCGATGGACCTCGTCAGGGGAGGACATGAACTAGCAACGAGTCTTGCTCGGGCTAGTGATGCGACATCGCAAAGGAAAGGACGTCGTATGAAAGAACAAGGGATCCTCCAATAAAAAGTGACAGCGGGCCTGCTTGCAGTCCTCATGCTCAGTGCAATACATGTACGCGCACGGGTCGCCAGAGGCAGCCAGTTTGACGCTCACCCTCGCCAACAGGTTGCTGCCCGCAAGCCAGTTTTCACAGAACATCCGAAGCCCCTGGCGAGTTTGCCAAGTCTCGAGTTCGGCCTCATTCGTTGCCATCGAGCGATGGACGACGGCCCAGGACATGACTGTCGACTACCGACAAGAATCTGGTGCTGACTGAGCTCAGAGACCTCGAGAGGCAACGTCAGCTGAGGTTGCGGATGAGGGGTCGCTGTAAACTGCTACACCACGTCAATTGAACTGATGCAGGCATGTGGAATGACGCTTGACAGAACGCCCTGAATGCGTGCTGAGCGGAGACG